GGCCCTGCCCTCAGGCCTGGGACAGGCCAGGCTGGCACAGCCTCTCTTTGTTGTTGTGAATGGCACAGGCTTGACTCTGCCCAACAGCTGGTGTGGCGAGTGATACAGGGTGTGTGGGGTGGGGGGAGGGTGTAGTGTATGTGCTATAATTGTGGTTCTGTGTTAGGTGTGAGACTACAAAACCCAGCTCCCAGAAGAGACCAGCACAGTCTCTTGCCCCCGCACCTGGCTGTCCTCGCCGGAGCCCCTTGGAGGGGATGGGTTGAGTTTCCCTCCCTGCCCCGAGCAGAGCTCCGGCAGCCAAAGACATCCAGAACCAGCCACAACCATGCTGAGACCACTCTCCACACACATGAAGGTACTGGCAGAGGAACAAAGGCATGCGGGTCCCGGGGCTGAGATCTCCAAGCCTGCTCAGATCGGGGCTGAGCATCCTCCACCCAGATCCTCCATCTTCCAGTAGGCAGGGGTCACACCCACCAACTGGCCCCCTGGTGCTGTGTAATCCCATCAACGGCCAAGACCCAGAGACTACAAAACCCAGCTCCCAGAAGCACACAGCCGCATTCGCGCGACATCTTATTATCTCATTCTTACTTTGGACAACCTGGCCGGCTACCGAACGTAACCTGCCCACACGGCAGAGTCTGGCAAACTCCCAGTGGTGTACCCAATATGCCAAATACCAGTAACAATGATGGGTCTCATTCTCCTAACCCTGAAAGAGCCTTGAATATGGCACTATAAAATCTCTGGACTAGGACGAAGGAGACGTTACTGGGGCCTGCTCGAAGCAATCTACGAACAACAGGATGATCATGATCGTGATCGCTAGGTGTGAGATGTGTATGGTGTATAGTGTGCGTGTAGTAATTTTTGTGTGAGTGTGTGTGGTGTGTGTAATGAGTGTGTATGTTGTGTGTGTGATGAGAATACCTTTGGTGTGTTCGATGTGTGTGTGGAGTATATTTGGTGTGTATGATGTGTGAGTGATGTGTATGTAGGAGTGTGGTGAATGTGAAGGTGTGTGGTGAGTGTGAGTGTGGTGTGTGATGAGTGTGATTATGTATGGCGTGTGTAGCAAATGTGAATGTGTGTGGCAAGTGCGAGTGTGTGTGTGGCGAGTGTGAATGTGAGTGTGTGTGGTGTGTGTATGGTGTGTGTGGCGAGTGTGAGTGTGTGTGCTGAGTGTGAGTGTGTGTGGTGTGTGGTGTATGTATGGTGTGTGTGGCGAGTGTGTGTGTGGTGTGTGTGGTATGAGTGTGTGTGGTGTGTGTGGCAAGTGTGAGTGTGTATGGTGTGTGGTGAGTTTGTGTGTGGTGTGTGTGGCGAGTGTATGTGGTGTGTGTGGTATGTGTGGTGAGTGTGTGTGTGATATGTGTGTGGTGAGTGTGAGTGGTGTGTGGTGTGTGTGGTGAATGTGAGTGTATGTGTGGTGTGTGTGGTGAGTGTGTGTGGTGAGTGTGAGTGTGTGTGGTGTGTGGTGAATGTGAGTGTGTGTGGTGTGGGCGGTGAGTGTGTTTGGTGTATGGTGCGATGTGTGCTTGGTGTGTGTGGTGTGTTTGAGTGTGTGTGAGTGTAAGAGCAAATGCAGGTACACAGGCACACGGCACACAGCAGAGAGAGAAGTAGAAAACACTTGTAGGCTCTCAAGGCGAAGGCAATCAGACTCTGAGGCAGATGGGGGGTTCTCTCAGCGCCCACATGCCACTTCCCATCATGCCCTTGCCTCTTTAGGGCTCCCCTGATGAGAGCCCTTTGGAAAAACAAGGCAGAGACCTTCACAGATTAACCCCTGCCTGCCTCTCTCAGGCCAGACTGTGCAGGGTGTGACTGGGAAAGGGACATCTGGGTCCCCTGACCAAACAGCCCCAACGTGCTCCTGTCTGGACAACCACGCTCCAGGTTGGCATGTGCCGGCAGTCCTGGCCAGTGGGGGAGAGGGGAGGGAAGGGGGTAGTGTTTTTGTTGACTTGCACCCTTCCTGCAGGGACTCTCACCCCTATCCACTAGCCTCACTCTGTGTCTGTGGAAGGGAGATTCCATGTGAGGGTGTCATGGAACCCTGAGAGCAGGCACAGAGCGTTCCTGGCTTCCTTGGCAGGATTGGCAAAGGGGCACCGAGATCGTGCCCACTTGCCTTGTCAAGCTTCTAACATCATCAGCGTCACCAGGAACCACCTCCTCCTTCCAAACACCAGACACAGCACGGGCAGGCGGGGTCTCCAGCAAAGAGTACCCCTCTTGAGGTCCTGGATCCATGTAGTCCCTTCCTTGGAGGGAGTACCCTAAGAGTGGAAGGGGGCCATAGGACCAGGGGGAGGCAGGGCCTGTCCCCCCACTGCTCAGGTCTCTGCTTCTTTCCCTCACAAAGGGTTTGGGTACTAAGTGGTGCCAAGCTACCAGCCATCCTCACACTCCCCTTTTTCCTTTCAGTGGCCCTAGAAACCACCATTAGGTAACCCTGCCCCTTTCCTCCCAGAACCCAGGACACCTGTTTCTCCTTCAGATTCCAGATCCTTCAAGGAATGAAGAGATTTGGCCCCTAAGTGGGGACGATAACAACCTCCTTAACCCTACAAAATTTCCATACTAATCCCACCAGGAGGCAGGCGGATTTTGCAGGGGCTGTCGGAGAGGTGGAGAAGCGCTGCAGGAGAGAAGTGGGGGCACTCACCCTTTGGTGTATCCAGGCCACATCCCAGGGAGAGGAAGCTGGCAAGTAGGCACACGACCCCTGGCCACGGTCTGGGTCCTGCCATGTCCCAGCCTTGCTCTGCGCCCTGGGCTCCTGCTCTCCTCCAAATGTGGCAGAGAGGGCCGGGCCTGGCAGCCCCTAAGAAACGGGGGAGTCGGCTTCAGAGGAAAGGGAGGGGCAGAGCGACAGGGATACCCTTGCAGAGACAGCAGGAGACAGAAAACTAGGAATGAATGAGCCACAGAGGTACAACGACAGGGACAGGAAGCGAGAGAAGGAGCCTCGGCGTGAGAGATGCGGACAAAGATGCAGGCTGAGACCAGGGGAGCCACCCAGGTGCAGGCCACCTCCAGGAGCCCAGCAGAAGCCGGAGGCAGGGGGCGGAGGGCAGTGAGGGTCCCGGGCCGCCAGCCGCGCAGGGACGGTGGCCCGGCCCTGCCCGCGCGGGGCTCCAGAGCTCGCGGCAGCAGCTCCCGGGGCGCACGCAGGGCCGCGCCCAGCTCTCGTCTCCCCGCCCCCAGGCCGAGTGGCTGGGGCCGACGTCGCCTCTCGCTTCTCTCCTTGCCTCCCGCCAAGCCAAAATATTTAGCCTGACAACTGTTGGGGGCAGGGGGGCAGGTCTGTTGGGGGAAATAAGGTCCAAATACAGGGGGGTGGTAGCCCAAGAACTCAGTTCCCCCTGCCCCCCCCCAAGTCCTTGCTGCTGCTGCGGCGGCGGCGAACGCTCCCCAGACGTCCCCCTGCAAATACCTCCAAAGTCGGACTACTTGGCCGGTGGGCGGAGAGCTGTCGCGCCCCCTTAGTGCAGAAGGCGGATGGCGGAGCTCGGGGAAGGGCAGGGATTGCCCACACCCGTCCGGCTTCCTGGCCCCTTGGACCCCAGCTCCCACCGCGCCCGGACACCGCAGGCGCTCAACCCCAGCCCGGGTCCCTGGTTCCCATTGGGACACCCCAGACCCGGCAGTCACCTATGACTTCCCCTTTGCCCCTGAATTCAGTCCTCTCTGTCTGTGCGTCTGACCCTGACTCGGGAAGGGTGGGGGGTAGCCTGGGGGGTGGGGGTGCAGGAGTCGCGGGGGCGAGAACAGCTGAGAGCTCTGCCTGGTACATTCTGGGACCCTCCTGTGTCCTTCCCGTCCCTTCCAACAGTCCCTCCTATCTCCAGGAACCCCTCGGCTTGGGTCTAGCGGGATTTTGCCGCCCCTGGGTCAGAGGGGCAATGACAGGCCCTGGTAGTTTTTTGTTTTGTTTTGTTTTCTCTTTTTGGGGCGGGGGTGCCGCAATTGGCTGCGCTCCGGGATCACTCCTGGCGGTGCTCTGATGCCCCTACGGGATGCTAGGGTTTGAACCCAGCTTGGCCGCGCGCAAGGCAAGTGTCCTCCCTACCCGCTGTCGCTCCGGCCTCTGACACCCCTGGGTTTGCTGGGTGCGCGGCCTCCTAGGACCAATGCGTCCCGGGCTCCACCCGCGGGCGGCTCCCGCGTCCGAGGAGCTAAGAGAAGATCTATTAATTTCTCAGCGTAGAAATCGATGCTCTTGTCAGGGCGGCGATCGATGCCGGCCCAGCCCGGCCGGGGGCCAACACGGGCTGGCGGGGTCAAGGACTGAAGCTGGTTCCCAGGCGCGGCGCAGCGGGGGCAAAGCAGAGTGAGCCCGCACCCACCTGTCCCGGGCTGGAAGGTACCGGCGGCGCGCGAGCTTCCAGCGCCACCCCGTGGTCCCGGCTGCTCGGTTCACGCGCGTTGGGGAGGCGAAACCTTCCCCTTTCTGATCTCTCGCGTCTTCCTTCCCCGGGTCCTGCGTCTGGTTCTTTTTTTTGGGGAAGAGGGGGACGGGCGTGTTTACTTCTTCTTATATTCCTGGGATTTCAAGAGTGTCACATAGTTCACCCCAAGTGGCTTTGCACACTCTCGCAGGCCCGCGCACCCTTGGAGAGCGGTCGCGGAGGCCGGGGGGTGACCTGAACTGCCCCTCTCGCACCCCACCACCTCCACCTCCGTCCCCACTAAACGCAGTTGCTCTAGGCGGCAGGAGTTGGGGGCTGGACAGCAGATCAACTTCCCCCCAGATCCCCCGCCCCTGCGGACACCTCTGCGGCTGCCCCTTGGCGTTTCCGGAGCTGGGAGGGTCTTCGGGAACAAGTCCCCAGGTTGGGGCGAGAGGTGCCGACCGAGTTGCTGCGGGGCCGAGTACGGGGCGGGGCGGGGCGGGGCGGGGTGGGGGCGGGGTGGCCGCTGGCCCCGCCCTTTCCTGGCCGCGGCCCTTTAACGCCGCCCCGCGCACATGTCGGGGGAGGCCGGCAGCCGCGCGTCGCGCGCACAGACGGGCTGCCCGGCCGGGGCCAGGCGGGTGCCGCCGCGATGCTGCGAGGCGGATGGCGCGGGCAGCGGGGCGGGCACGGCCGGACCACGGGCCCGGGCAGCCTGCTGGCCTGGCTGATGCTGACATCCGCGGGGGTCGCGCCCTGCGGCGAGGTCTGCTGCCGGCACGGCCCCTCGGGGCTGCGCTGCTCCGGGGCTAGGGCTCTGGATTACGTCTCCCACCTGGCAGGGGCCGAGAACCTAACGGAGCTGTGAGTGTCCGGCGGGCCGGGAGGCGGCGCGGGGCCCGAGCGGTGCCCCGAGGGCGCGGACTGTCCGCCTGCTGCCCGGGGCGGAGGGGCGGGAGGCTGGCTTCCAGGTGCCTTTTTGCGGACATCGGTTGGCGGTGCCGGGCAGCGGGAACTCCGAGAGGGATGAGGGCACCCCTTAGGCACAAGGGCGCCCCGCCGTCTCAAAGCTGCGTTCTGGAGCGCAGCCGCCCGGCGGGCGCAGGAGACCTTCCGATGCCCCCCTCAGCTGGGCAACCGCACCTCAATCTCTTTTTTTCCAAGGGTAGCCAGCCCTACTCCGCCTTTGTTGTCACGGACGGGGCACTAGCTCTCCCCCGGGACAGACATATGGGACAGAGAGACAGACAGTCCCTCTCCCAGCTCCCTCCGACCCTCACCTCTCTACCCGGGAGTGTGAGTGTCTTTCCCACTGCTCTCTCCCCCACCCCCTCCGGGGCAGTCTTGCCTTGCCCAGGCCCCGGGAGCAATCACCACCAACACCCTGCAGTACTCTGGCCTCCTGCGGGCATCCGTGGCAAGGTACTCAAGTACTTTCTTAGCTGCTGCTGTGATTAGTGGCCTAGAGGTACTCTAGCATCACTTGAGGATGGCTGGGAAGTACTTGAGTATACCGAGGCTGGTGGGGCTGTCAGGACTTGGAAGAATGGGAAGAGAATTCTGCTCTGTAGTCTGGGGCTGAGAGGAAGCGCAGGCATCCCAGCTTTGTGTGGGGGACTAGCTGTCTGTGTCTGAGTTGGGTGTGGGGGGGGTTCCAGCATGGCTGGAAGTCACTTGAGCAGCCCGCAGTATTTGGCACCGAATTCCTTGGGTATCTTGTGGTAATTAACGGGAAGGTACTCAGTCGCTCTGGAGGCCCCAGGGAGATGGAGAGAAGTGGAGACAGCCTCGTCTGGGCCTAGGACTCTGCATGCTGGGGGACAGAGTTTCAGGCTGCCCACCCCCAGCCCTCTTTGCCTCACTGGGGGACTTCCAACTAGGGCCCTGGGGCACCCTGCCTCCCTCATGGGCCCTCATTTTCAGTTTTCCTCCAAGCCCCAGCAGGGCCAGTGTTGGGGATTGGAGCGGGAAGGGGGGCCGGGACAGGGCTGGGGACAGGGCAGGGCTGGAGACAGGGCGGCAGGCATGCTGGTGCACGTAGAGAGCTGGGATGTCCCTTTGGGTGGAGCTGCAGCCTGACCCCTGCCTCCCTCCGTCCCGCACCTCCCCGGCCTCCCACTCCCCTCCCGCTCCCTCTCCCGCAGCGCTAACGAGGAGATAATGGACTCGAACAGACAGATTGATTATGAATCCAAACGAATGAGGCAGCTTTGAGGAGCTCCCTGACAGCTTGCACACACCCGCCTGACCCGCTGCCTTCTCACCCTCGCCCAGGGTCCCTGTAGGGTTGGGGTAGAGGTGGAGGGGGGTGCTGGGGGACACAGATCAAGAACCCACATGCCCTCAGAGCCCCTGGAGATTTCTCCCATGGCCTCACGGGGCTCGGGCAAATATACCTGTCCAAGGTGGGGTGGAGGGGAAGGGAGAGGGGTCACTCGGGCTGGTCCTGGCCTTCGGCCAAGGCGAACGGGGAGCCGTCTGAAAGCTGGCAGCAGGGGCTGTGCTGTGCTGCACTGGGACCCTGACATGCAGTGCCAAGTGCCGCTGCAAGCAGGAAGAGTTCCTCGGAACCCACACTTCCCAGAGGCAGACCTGGCCGGGCCCAGCCTCAGCCATCCCCTGTCCATCCTCATCTTTCCTGCCTCTGTCTGGCTTTCTCGGGCTCTGTCTTATCTCAGCCTCTCCGTCTCCCTTCCCTTATCTGGCTCACTCCTTGCCTGCCTCTGCCCGTCAGGCTCCTCTCTGGTTCGCTGTGTCTTTGTCTCCCCACACCCCCCACTGGGGCGCGGACCTTCCCATTTCCTCTTCACCACCACCCCACATGCCTCTCCCTCCCTGCCCTTCTTCTTCCTGGTTCCTCCCCAGGCCAGGTGGGGTTTAGGGGGTTCTTGGCTCTGTATCAGCTCCAGACTTTGGTGTGGGGGTGGCATATGCCTGTGGGGAGGGACTGAAGCTTTGTGGGGGGGGGGAGGGGGGAAGGGAGAGGGGGCAGTGGTGGGTGGGCGGAGGGTGGCATATGGATCAGAGGAGCCCATTAGCTACCATGACCCACGGCTTCCTCCTCATCTCCCCATTTGGGTGGGGTAGTGGAAGAGGAGTGTCGGGGAGCCCTGGGTGAAAGCCCCCCAGGACTGAGGTGTGTAGTAGCAGCAGGTGGACTTGTGTGCTTGTGAATGGTGCCCAGAGAGTTCCTGTGTGTGTGTGTGTGTGTGTGTGTGTGTGTGTGTGTGTGTGTAGGTGGGGAGAGGCTTGCGGGATTGTCTCTGTGTGGGAGATGGCTGTGGGTATGCCCATCCATCAGGTACGCATGCAGGGGCGGCAGGCCCAGGTGCCTGGCCTTGTTGCAGGCCAAGTGGAGGTGTGTCCACACCTGGGTGGAGGCCCATGTGCGCTCTGTGTGTCTGCATGCATGAGCCACGAGCAGGTACTGTGTCAGTGGGACGATGTCAGTGAGCAAGGCAGGCAGGGATGTGGAAGCGTGACCCCCCGCCCCTCTCTCCACAGCCACATCGAAAACCAGAACCTGCAGCATCTGGAGCCGAGTGACCTCAAGGGCCTGGGGGACCTGAGAAACCTGTGAGGCCTGGGGCTGGGGGGAGTGCAGGTGCTTGGTGCAGGGGTTGGAGGCGATCAGGCAGGCCACAGCGCAGAGGACTTTGGGGCCTGCAGAGACTGGCTGGCTGAGTCCAGAGAGCCGGGCAGGGTGAGGGGTGTGGGTGGCTGGAAGCTGAGGGTGGCATGTTGGGTGCAGGGCTCTGCACTGGACCTAAGCCGCTGTGTCCTTCCCAGCACCATCATCTGGAGTGGCCTCCAGTCCGTGGCGCCAGATGCCTTCCACTTCACCCCTCAGCTCCGTCGTCTGTGAGTGGCCGGGCGGGGAACTGGGTGGGAGGCACCCAGACGTGGACAGCTAATGTACTTGGCCCTCCCCGGGGAGCTTCCCCGAGGAAGTCCCCAGCTGGTCAGGGGAGCTCGCACACCCCTTCCATTCCCCTGGGGCCTCCTTCCTGGACCTGAGACCATGAGGGCCCTTGTAATGGTGGAACCTGCTCTCTTGTGGGGCTCCAGAGACATCCAATCACCTCCCGGCTGGCTGGGAGAGGGGATCTGGGGCCTCGGTGGGCCTTTCCTCACCTCACCCATGTCCCAGCTTCCGGGAGGGCAGGTCCTGTGCTCACAGACTGGCCTGTGTCAATCAAACTGCTGTATCCAGTGATTTGCCAACAATTGGAAATAAGACTCACAAGCTCTGCGTGTGGGAAGCCTGGTCCGAGCCCCAGCACCACGTGGTTTCATGATCTCACCCCAGTGACCCAACTCACCCCCCATAACACCACCAAAATAAGGCGATGCTGTGTGACCAATTACCATGTGGGGGTGGGGCAGGGGTGGCAGAAAACACTGTGTGCCCTCCCTCCAGGTCCTGGGGCGGGGGGGTGGGGGGGGGGGCGAGGGAGAGTGCTCCCGCATGCATTTTATAGAGGGAGGTCCAAGAGCCTTCCAGGCTGTGCTTCTGGGTGGAGCCATGTCCCTGTGAGTGTCTGGAACTCCAGTCCAGCCCTGTTCTGCCCATTCTGGTGGGCACTGAAGGGACAGGTCTTTGATCCCTCTGTGGTGAGGTCTCTCCAGAGCAGCCCCCAACACACTGTGGGGATCAGCAGGCAGAGCAGGGCCAGGATGCCCAGGACTCCCTGTGGAGGCCTGGGCAGTGGGACTTGGGATGGGCGTCCTGTGTCTCCTGGTGCTGGGCACTGAGTTCACCTTCTCCATGGAAGGCACCAGAGGCCTGGGACCCTTCAGCCCATGTCCCCCGAGTCTCCAGGAAGGGGATGAAGGAGTGGGGAGGGAAGCTCAGGGAATACTTTGGGACCTGGTCATCTGGTAGGGGGCAAGGGTGTGTTGGCACCCAGTCCCTCTCCTCTCCCCTCTGGGGGAGGGGAGCACAGATGGAGCCCCGAGCCCCCTCAACAGCTGGGGCCTCAGCACTTTGCCAGCTGGGGCCAAAGGTGGGGGAGGGGCAGCGGCTGTTCCCTCAGACCCCTCCCTGGGGTCTGGGGAGGGGGTTAAGTGGGGTTAACCCTTGTTGTTCCAGGGAACAGCATGGCACTTGAGGGACCTAACTGTTCTTCTCATACACACATACCCAGGGCTGTTGTCAGGAGTGGAAGGAGAAGCCAGATGTCAACTCTTGTGGGTTCCCAGCATGTGCACGCACACACACACACACACACACACACACACACACACACACACACACACACAAGATCAGGAGAAGGTCAGGGTCAGGGTCTGTCTTTGTCTCGACCCCCGCAGGAATCTCTCCCACAATAAGCTGAGGTCGCTCTCCTGGAAAACTGTTCAGGGCCTCTCCTTGCAGGAACTGTGAGTCGGGCTTCCCAGGCGGGTGCAAGGGTGTGTGCATGCCTGTGTGTGTGTGGGAGTGTGCTTAAGTGCATGTGTGTGTGTGTGTGTGTGTGTGTGTGTGTGTGTGTGTAGGGGGAATCTACGTGTCTACGTGCAGCTCTGTGTGCATGCATGCATGCCCGAGTGCACGTGTGTATGTGGGGGGAAGAATCTACGTGCGGCTGTGTGTGCATGCATGTCTGAGTGCGTGTGTGCATTTGTGCATGCATGCGTGTGGGGGAATCTATGTGCTGGTGTATAAGCTTGCATGCATGCATGGCTGAGTGCATGTGTGCATGCATGGGTGTCTCTGTGTGTGCGTGGGTGGGTGGATGTCTGTGTGTACTGAACTTACATGTGCTCTTATTTCTTCCATGTTCCTGTGACCGTGTGGAACCAGCATGCTCGGGTTGGAGGGGGGAGTCTTGGGGGCTGCCTCTTTGGTTGTGAGCTGGAACTGAGGACTGTGCTAGCTCGTGTACCCCATCAGAGGCTGCAGGAGGGGGCTGGGAAGATATGGGAAGATAGCACAGAGGGGTATGGCATTTGCCTTGCTTTCAGCCAATCCTGACTTGATTCCTGTACCTCATTTAGTCCCTGGAGCACTGTTGGGAGTAAGCCCTGAGCACAGCCGGTGTGTATCCCAAACAAACAAACAAAAAAAAAAAAAAAAAGAAGAAACTGCAGGAGTCCCCATGAAGGGGCTGTTGGTCTGGGGTTATGGGAGGGGGAGAGAGTCAGTCAGAGACACGAGAACGGCCGGAGCATCTGACCTGTGCTGTGCAGGCAGGGAGCCCCCAAAGTCCAACCCCCTGTGTGGCGTTGGCCCACGTGTGCCCAAAGGCCTCTGGGCCTTGCAGGAAAAAAGGCAGTGCCCTTCCCTCTGCTCGCCAGGCTTGTGCCTCGGGGAGAGGTGCTTCTCCCATGCCCCATGTGCCCAGCTGCTTCCTGCTGACTCAGCCACTTCCTTTTCCCAAAGCTATACCCTGACACCTGCCCCCCTCCTGATTCTGGTGTCCCCCACATCTGCCAGGGTCCTGGTGGGAAACCCACTGAACTGCTCCTGTGCCCTGCGCTGGCTGCAGCGCTGGGAGGAGGAGGGGCGGGGCGGAGTGCGCCTGCAGAAGCTAGAGTGTCATGACAGAAACAAGTCTTTGCCCCTTGGCCTCATGCCCAACAGCAGCTGCCGTAAGTGCCAGGGGTGGGGGGCACGGGCTGGCAAGACCCAGCTGGGGAAGCTGAAGGGTGGCCAGGTGAGGTTCAGGGTGGGCCGGGGGCATTGCCTGGGGCAGGGTCTGGGGGCCACTTCCCGCTCTCACATGCCCTCTGGCATCCCGGCCAGACTTGCTCACGTTGAAGGTCCAGGTGCCCAATGTCTCGGTGGACATGGGGGACAATGTGTCACTGCGGTGCCAGGTGGAGGGGCGCAACCTGGAGCAGTCCGGCTGGGGCGTGGCCGAGCTGGAGGAGTCCGCCACTGTGACTGTAAGCTGCTCTTCACCCCTGGCCCCCCTTGTCCTGTCCCCCCCTCCATCCCCCGCGCCCCCAGGGACCTGAAATCAGAAATGGAGAAAAGGATCATGGAATAGTAAAGCAGAAGGGAGGTGAGGGATGGGCAGGGGGGCTCAGCCCCTCTCAGGCCCCTGCTGGGCCCAGTACAGTCGGGTTTGCTCTGGAAAGGCCATACTGGCCGCAGAGGGACCGACAGACCCTCCCTCCCTTCTACCCCCTTTCTGGAGAAGAAACTGGGGGCCAGGAGAGAGCCAGTCCCTGGTCCTGCTCCAGGGAACCTTCCCTCCACCAGCCTTTGTTTCAGGACCCCAAGTTGCTGGTCTCCAGACACGGGAGCCATCCTCGCAGTCTTGTTTCCATCATGGTCAGACAACTACCACTCTGGACAGGTCATTTTTGTCTGCTCCTGCACTTCACCAAACCAGAAAAACCGTGATTCAGGGCAACTGGGGTTGTCTTTTGGTCACGCCATATGCCCAGGGTTTCTCAGGAAGAGAATCTGAGTCTGCTGGTCCGTCTTTCAAGGCTGATTCCAGGTGTTCGGTGTCTCTGAGCCCAGCATCTTCAGCAGCCAAGGGCTCCGGGCTGTGGCGTCTGTGCCACCTCACCAGTGGTACTGGCCAAGGTTCTGCCCTGTGGGTGCCCGCAGGGCTCAGAGGCTGTGCGCCACCCTAGTTGTGAATCCATGAATTGTCATGTAGTAATGTATACTTCTGGGGCTGGAATGATAGTACAGAGGGTAGGGTGCTGGCCTTTCATGTGGCTGACCTAGCACCCCGTATGGTCCCCTGAGCACTGCTAAGAGTGATCCCTGAATGCAGAGGCAGGAGATAACCCTGAATATCACTGCGGATGGCCCAACGCCCAACCCTTTGCAAAGCGCGCACACACACACACACACACACACACACACACACACACCCCACCCCACACCACACACACACACACACACACACACACACACACACACACACACTTGAATCAATGCATGAGTACTTGAGCTGCTAGGATAGGTGATTTACTGATTTAGGTTCAGGAGGTCTGAGAGTATTGGCTCTGTTCTTAGCGTGACCAGACAAGTTCTGAAAGGGCTGTTCTGTCCTGTCTTCGCTTCCGCCTTCCCTGTCCTCCTGGCCCACTCCTTTCTTTTTTTCAAGTGGAATCAGGGACTCTCCCCAAAGTCATTCGCCCCAGCCCGCTGCCTCCAGCTGAAGTGCTTCCTGATGATCCCCTCTCCCCCTGACCCAGGAATCTGGGGAGCTCTGGGACCTGCAGCTGACCCTGGCCAATGTCACCAGTGACCTCAATAGGAAGAATGTGACCTGCTGGGCCGAGAATGATGTGGGCCGCGCTGAGGTCTCTGTCCAGGTCAACGTCTCCTGTGAGTGTCCCCAGCTGTCCCTGGGTTCACCCCCAGCCCTACTGCTCTGGAAGCTGATGGAAAGGCGGGTGGAGGGGGGGGCGCTAGAGCAGGGGGTGGGAGTATCCCCACAGCTGCTCCCTCCCAGCTGTTTCCAGATTCCCATGAAAACCTGATCCTTTGGGGGATGTCCTGGGGGCTTGTCAAGGCCAGAGGGATGGAGCAGGATTTCTTTTTGGCCCCTTGCCTGAGTCCTGTTACCTGAGGCCCTGTGCACAGCTGCCCCCCTTCTCCCTGCCCTTCCCCCCAGTTTTCCAAGACCCCCACCCAACCCCCACTGCCCCCACCTCCTCAGCAGACCCATTGCCTCATTCTGACAAGGAATTCTGTCAACCCTTTTCTGATGTTGTTGTTTTGTTTGTTTCTTTTTGGCTTGAATCTCGGTGGGACTCAGGACTTACTCCTTGCTCTGTGCTCAGGGATCACTCCTGGGTGGGGCTTGGGGTGCCAGAAATGTAACCTGGGTCAGCCACATACAAGGCAAATGCCCTCTCCACTGCTCTGGTCTTTCTATCAACTCTTTTACTTTGTGAAATCTTTTTTGGGTTGGTGATACCCGGCTATTCTCAGGGCTCTGCACTCAGGAATCACTCCTGGCAGTGCTTATAGGACCATATGGGATGCTGAGGATCAGATTTGGGTCTGCTGCATGCAAGGCAAAATGCTCTACCTACTTTGTGAAATCTTAGGCAATTTTCCCTCTTTCTTGTGAAAATGTATATACACAGCTCACCTCCTTTAAACACATGATTTTCAATCTTTCTTATACTTGTGTGCAAGCAGTGACCCCTAACTGTCCTATGAGCTTTCCCAAAGATCACTGTCACTGTCCTCCCATTGTTCATCGATTTTCTCGAGCGGGCCCAGTAACATCTCTGTTGTGAGACTTTGTTGTTACTGTTTTTGGCATATCAAATACGTCATGGGTAACTTGACACGCTTTGCCGTGTGGGCAAGATACTCTCGGTAGCTTGCCGGGCTCTCCGAGAGGGGCAGAGGAATCGAACTCAGGTCGGCCAAGATGGCCACGTGCAAGGCAAATGCTCTTCCCGCTATGCTAACGCTCCAGCCCCTCCCAAAGATACTCCATCCAAACCCCATTCTGACATTTTGGGGTCATCATTTCTTTATATTTAAGAATTGGGGCTGGAGTGATAGTACAGCAGGGTGGGAGTTTGCCTTGCATGTGGCCAACCCGGGTTCAATTCCCAGCATCCCATAGGGTCCCCTGAGCACTGCCAGGAGTAATTCCTGAATGCATGAGCCAGGAGTAAATCCTGTGCAGCACCGGGTGTGACCCAAAAAGCAAAAGCAAAACAAAAATAATAATAATGTATGGAGCCAGAGCAGAGCAACAGGACAGTTGGGTCGGGCATGGTTTTGCCTGCAGCATAACGTGTTCCATCTCTGGTACTAGTTATGGTCCCCTGAGCCAACCAGGAATGATCCCTGAGCACAGAGTCAGGAATAAGGCTTGAGCACCACCAGGTGTGGCCCCAAGACAAAACAAAAGAATAATTTTATATACATTTGCTTCCTTAGAAGCAGTTTATTTTCTCAGCTCTTGCGCATGTAGAGGTGGCGCTGTAATCCGTGCGTCATTTTGTGCCTCATGTCTTCCACTCAGGGCTCTGCTCCGGAGATCCCTCCCAGCTACAGGGAGTGACTTTAGTTCATCCTAGCTCTATGGAACACTGATCAGTACAGAGTCTTTATCCGCTGTGTGGGTGCCAGTGGGAATGTCGGGAGCAACTGTATATGTTTATACATACAGATATATTTACTTATTTATTTATAGGCTTTTTGGGTCAGACCCAGGGATGCTCAGGAGTTACTTCTGGCCTGCACTCAGGAATTCCTCCTGACAGTGCTCAGGGGATGCCCTACCCACTGTACTACTACTCTGGCCCCTGTATTTTAATTATTGAGGGACCTGTACATTTTCCAGTTTACAGGTCTACTTTAAACCGATATATATATATATATATATATATTTACATATATATATATTTTTAAGTTTTTGGGCTATACCTGGCAATTCTCAGGGGTTATGCATGGCTCTGTACACAGGAATTACTCTTGGTGTGGTTTAGGGGATCATATGGGATGCTGGGGGTCAGTTGTGTGCAAGGCAAGTGCTCTGCCTCTGTATTATCTCTCCAGCCCAAACCCATATCCTTGGGGCCTGAGGGATATAGTATAGCAGATCCGGTGTTTGCAGCAGCCGACTCGAGTTCAATTCCCAGCATCCCATAGAGTCCACCAGAAGTAATTCCTGAGAGCAGAGCCAGGAATAACCCCTGAGCATTGCCAGGTGTGACCCAAAAAGAAAAAAAAGAAACCCCATATCCTTAATATATATATATTTTTTTTCTGTGGGTAGGGGGATAGGCCACACCAGCGGTGTTCTAGGGATGCTTTTGCAACAGTGACCAGGGATCACTCCAGGCAGTGCTAAGGGACCTTGTGATGCTAGGGATTGGTACTGGAAATTGTAATCCAAGAGGGCATTGCAGAGCATGCTCTCTTGTCCTTTGAGTGCTCTCTTTGACCATAAACATGTTTAAACCATATATATGTATATATACATATATATATACCGCATGGCAGAGCCTGACAAGCTCCCTGTGGTGTATTCGATATGCCAAAAACAGTAACAACAAGTCTCACAATGGAGACATTACTGGTGCCCGCTTGAGCAAATCAATGAACAACCGGAGGACAACAGTGCTATATATATATATATATGGGGGGGTGCTCACATCCCCTGCCCTCCTGGCCCTCCTACCCCATCTTTTTTGTTTTTTTGTTTTTTTGGGGGGTACATCCACTTGTGCTCAGGACTTACTCCTGGCCTTGTGCTCAGGGATCACTCCTGGCAGTGCCAGAGGATCCTCTAGGGTGCTGGCCATGGAATGCGGGTTGGCCATGTGCAAAACCAAGCGTCCTGCATCTTCCAACCCCCATCCCACCTTCAGTCTGATGACTGGATCTTTTCAGCTCTCTGCCACCAAGAGGATCACACACTGCCATTTCATAAATCAGCGCTCTGCTTCCATAAAGGCAGAATCCCTGCCTCCAGGTTTCATACCCAGATGCGCGACTCATTGAAGACTTACTGTCCCCTTTTGTGGTTTGTTTTTGGGCCAGGCCTATCCATGCACAGGGCTTACTCCTAGCTCTGTGCTCAGGGATCATTCCAGGTGGCTAGCACCTTCCCTGCTGACACCATCTTTGCCCCGCCCACTCCCTTACTCACCTTCCTTCTTAACCGTTTCCCCGTTTCTCCTGAGCCATCACCTGATTTCTGGGCCCCCAAAAGTCAGGCGTGCGGGGCTGGAGCGATAGCACAGCAGGTAGGGCGCTTGCCTTGCACGCAGCTGACCCGGGTTCGATTCCCAGCATCCCATATGGTCCCCTGAGCATTGCCAGGGTAATTCCTGGGTGCAGAGCCAGGAGTAACCCTTGTGCACCCCAAAAGCAAAAAAAAAAGTCAGGCATGCGTGAGTCGCACCCCTCCCGCTCCCCCACAATCGGGCTGTGACCAAGGGCTGCTCCTGTCCCCCCAGTCCCGGCCAGCGTGCGGCTGCACCCCGCCATGGAGCTGCACCACTGGTGCATCCCCTTCTCGGTGGACGGGCAGCCAGCGCCGTCGCTGCGCTGGCTCTTCAACGGGCTCCTGCTCAACGAGACCAGCTTCATCTTCACCGAGTTCCTGGAGCCCGCGGCCAACGAGACGGCGCGCCACGGCTGCCTGCGCCTCAACCAGCCCACGCACGTCAACAACGGCAACTACACGCTGCTGGCCGCCAACGCGCTGGGCCAGGACGCTGACTCCGTGGTGGCCGCCTTCATGGACAACCCCTTCGAGTTCAACCCGGAGGACCCCATCCCCGGTGCGAGTGCCCACCTTCTGGAGGGCGGGCACCTCCGGCAGTGCTGGAGCCCTTGGGGGGCTGGATGCAGAGTGAAGCTGGGGACCCTTTACGGACCGCCCGCCCGGCCCAGACCCAGGAATTTTGAGCTCCCCTGTTCACTGGGGCTTCATCCAGGCCTGGTAGAGCCGGACCCTGAGGTCCTTTCAGGTCCCTCCTTTCTCCCTTAGGTCCAGGAGCCTCTCCCTCCCCTCCCCTCCCTTCTGTTCCTCTTCCCTCCTATCCTCCCCTCCCCTCACTTCCCCATCTTCCCTCCCTTCACCCTCTCCTCCCCTCTCCCCTCCTCTTCCCTCCTCTTCCCTCTCCTCTTCTCCCACCCCTTTTCTTCCCTCCTCCTCCCCTCCTCTCCTCTCACTCATCTTCCCTCATCCTCCTCTCCTCTCCCCTCCTCTTCCCTTCCCATCCCCCCTTCCCTTCTATCTCTCTTACCTTCCATCCTCCCCTCCTCTCCTCTCACCCGTCTTCCCTCGTCCTCCTCTCCTCTCCCCTCCCCTCTTCTCTCCTCCCCTTCCCTCCTCTCCCCTCCCCTTCCCATCCCTCCCCTTCTATCCCTCTTCCATTCCATCCTCCCCTCCCCTCACTTCCCCTTCTTCCCTCTCTTCTTCCTTCCCCCCTCCTCCCCTCCTCTCCCTTCCCTTCCCCTCCCTCCCCTCCCCTCCCCTTCCCTTCCCTTCCCTTCCCTTCCCTTCCCTTCCCCCCTCCTCCCCTCCTCTCCCTTCCCTTCCCCTCCCTCCCCTCCTCTCCCTTCCCTTCCCCTCCCTCCCCTCCCCTCCCCTTCCCTCCCCTTCCCTCCCCTTCCCTCCCCTTCCCTTCCCCTCCCCTCCCCCTTCCCTTCCCTTCCCTTCCCTCCCTTCTTTCCCTCTTCCTCCTATCATCTCCTCCCCTCACTTCCCCTTCTTCCCTCTCTTCTTCCTTCCCCCCTCCTCCCCTCCTCTCCCTTCCCTTCCCTTCCCTTCCCTTCCCTTCCCTTCCTTTCCCTTCCCTTCCCTTCCCTTCCCTTCCCTTCCCTTCCCTTCCCTTCCCTTCCCTTCCCTTCCCCTCCCCTCCCCCCTTCCCTTCCCTTCCCTTCCCTTCCCTTCCCTTCCCTTCCCTTCCCTTCCCTTCCCTTCCCTTCCCTTCCCCTCCCCTTCCCTCCCCTTCCCTCCCTTCTTTCCCTCTTCCCTCCTATCCCCTCCTCCCCTCGCTCCCCCTTCTTCCCTCCCTCCTCCTGTCCCTCATCTCCTCACATCTCTTCTCTTTCCTCTTTCCCCTCCTCCTCTCCTCTCCCCTCCGCTCCTCTCTGTCCCCCTGCCCCAGGGATGAGTCTGAGTGGGGAAGTGGCCTCTGCCCTTTCTGTGACCTCTGACCGCTTTCTCTCCTCCCCCTGCCGCAGTCTCCTTCTCTCCAGTGGGTGAGTAGCCTGGGGCTGGAGGTGAGGCTGGGCTGAGGGGTGCACGGGACCAGGGTGGGCAGCTGCTACAGGACACTGTGTGCCCAGGCCCACCAGGTGCCTGCCTGTGTCCCCACAGACACCAATAGCACATCTGGAGACCCGGTGGAAAAGAAGGACGAAACACCTTTTGGGGTGAGCACAGGAAGTAGTGTAGTTTGGCCGGGACTGGGGCGGGGGTGGGTCAGGCAGCTGCTTGTCACCCCTCCAGGCTGCCCTGAGCTCTGCAGCCACCTCCCAGCGTGGGGGTGCAGCTGGAGTTACCTCTGGGCTCCCCTGCAGGCTGGATGTGGTCTGCTCTGGGGGCTCTGACCCTCACTCCCCCCACCCCCAGGTCTCTGTGGCCGTGGGCCTGGCTGTCTTTGCCTGTCTCTTCCTCTCTTCGCTGTTCCTTGCGCTCAACAAATGCAGCCGGAGGAACAAGTTTGGAATCAACCGTGAGTGGCCGCTGCAGGACGCTGTCCGCCTGTCCGTCTGTCCTGCCTCTGTGCTCCATGTGCTGTTGGGGGCTGTGCTGGGAGGAACTCTGGAGAGTGTTGGGGTAGAGGAGCCCCATGAGCGTAGTGGGGGAGTGGGGGGGGTTGGGAGCAGCTGCTAATTGGTGTCTGGATCGTAGTCAGACACTAAGTGGGTCTGGGAGGCCTGCGCTCTGAGGGGGGCAGTGGGGTTCTTTGGGGGCCCTGGGGGCCTGGGACTGGACAGGAGCCAGAGGAAGGCTGGACCGCCTCCCCTCCCCCGCCTGTGGGCGCACTCCCGGCGCCTCGTTCCCCACTGCCAGCTGCCAGGTGGGGCCACAGTGTGCCCGGGCTGAGCCTCTGTGTGTCCATGTCCCCTCCCAGGCCCTGCTGTGCTCGCTCCTGAGGACGGACTGGCCATGTCCCTGCACTTCATGACATTGGGTGGCAGCTCCTTATCCCCCACTGAGGGCAAAGGCTCTGGACTCCAAGGCCACATCATCGAGAACCCGCAGTACTTCAGTGACGCCTGTGAGGGGCTGGGCTGGGCGCGGGTGGGGCAGACCTGACAGCATGTGTGTGCATGCGCCTGTGTGTGCGCTGTGTTTATCTGCACATGTGCCTGTGTGTGAGCCTATGTATGTGTGTGTGCCTGTGTTCATTTGTGTCTGCGTGTGAGTTTGTGTGTTCATGTGTTCAGGTGTGCACGCATGCCTCTGTGTTCATGAGTCTGTGCACACATTCTGTGTGCCTGTGTGTTTACATGTGTGTAAATGTGATGTGTTCCCATGTCTGCATGTGTTCATATATGTGTCTGAGTGTGTGCATGTGTGGCTGTGTGGGTGTGGGTATGCATATGCCTGTGTGCACGCATGAGAGCATGTGTCCCTCTGTGAGTACATGTGTGCCCATGTGCATATGTGTGTATGCATACATGTGTGTGCATGCCCCATGCCTTCACTCCTACCCACCCTAGGCCTGAACAAGCTTTCCCCCCTGCCCAGCTCTCCCCTGCCCATACCAGGGCCTGGCGCCCAGACCCCATCGACGAGGGCTCATGCCCTCATGCAGCACTGGCCCCGCCTGTCGAGTTCCTCTCCTCGCCCCTCCCCCCTTGCCCAGTCCAGACCCTGCCTGAGCCTACAAGCTCCTCCCCAGGTGTCCGTCATATCAAGCGCCGGGACATCGTGCTCAAATGGGAACTGGGGGAAGGAGCCTTTGGGAAGGTTTTCCTTGCCGAGTGCCACAACCTGCTGCCGGAGCAGGACAAGATGCTGGTGGCCGTCAAGGTAAGGTCCTGCTGGCCCGTGTCCCCCTGCCCGTGCCCCATCGTCCCAGGACTGGGGGAGGCACAGCTCACCTGGCCGCCCCCCTCGGTCCTGCACCCGTCTCCTGCCGCCAGGCGCTGAAGGAGGTGTCGGAGAGCGCGCGGCAGGACTTCCAGCGCGAGGCCGAGCTGCTCACCATGCTGCAGCACCAGCACATCGTTCGCTTCTTCGGCGTCTGCACCGAGGGCCGCCCTCTGCTCATGGTCTTCGAGTACATGCGGCACGGGGACCTCAACCGCTTCCTCCGGTATGTGGGGCCCGGGCTCAGCCTTGCCCTGGCCCACTGGTCTGTGCAACTCGAGAGGAGCAGGAAGCCTGGTGGCCTGTCCACAGGGAGCTCATGGGTGGAGGAGATGCCATATAGGGACACCCTACACGAAGGACAGGGAGGTCACCCCCCACGGAAGTCGGGGCAAAGACTCCAGGACTGGAGGTTGAGAGCACATGGGGGCAGGAGCCAGGCTGGTGGGCGGTGGCAGTCAGCATAAGGACAATAGTACCGGGCACTTGCTTTTCTTATTTTGATTTTTGAACCACCTGGGATGCTCAGGGCTTACTCCTGACTCTGCAGTGAGGAATCACTTCTGGTGGGGCTTGAGGGACCGTACGGGATGCGGGGGATCAAACACTCTCCCCGCTGTCCTACTGCTCCAATGCCTCTAGGGCGCAGGCACCGCTCAGCTCATCCTCATCGTGGCTCTGCTAAGCTGTGTGCTGATGTAAATGCAGGCTTCTGTTTCTTCATCTTCAAGCACATATGACAATTTATCTTTTAAAAATGTCACCTCGGGGCTGGAGCGATAGCACAGCGGGTAGGCCGCCTTGCACGTGGCTGACCCGGGTTCGATTCCCAGCAGCCCATATGGTCCCCTGAGCACCGCCAGGAGTAATTCCTGAGTGCAGAGCCAGGAGTAACCCCTGTGCATCGCCGGGTGTGACCCGAAAAGCAAAATAAATAAATAAATAAATAAAATAAAAGGTAAGGTAAGGTAAAGGCCCTCCCGTTGATCGTCGATTTGCTCGAGCGGGCCCAGTAACGTCTCCATTGGAGACTTTGTTGTTACTGTGTCTGGCATATCGAATACTCTCGGTAGCTTGCCGGGCTCTCCGAGAGGGGCGGAGGAATCGAACTCGGGTCGGCCATGTTGGCCGCTTGTAAGGCGAACGCACTACCCGCTGTGCTATCGCTCCAGCATAAAAATGTCACCAAAAATGCATGTCTTTCAACAGAACACCCCTGATTAGGGTTCCTTTATTTAGGCTGATCATGTGCGTAACTTCAAGAAGTGTGCTCTTGTCACTGATGAGGCTTAGCCACGTCAGGTGACTCTGTGCCCAGGGCTGTGGCCTCAAGCAGAGCTCTGCTTTCCAGCCTGACTGTGATGGTCTCTTCTGCCCTGTGAGGAGCGGCAGCAAGGCAGGGGAGAGGGCACTTAGAAATCCAAGCAGTGCTGCGTGCAAGGCGAGCACCTTTTCCCTACTCTTTCTTCCCAGCCCTTCTATTGTTATTGTTATTATTATTATTATTATTTTAAATAGTGCTAGGGACTGCGTCCAGGGCCTTTCCCATGAGAGGCATATGCTTTGCCACCAAGCCTCATGCCTAGCTGAGCCTTCTTTGCCAAGTACTTTTCCTCTCTGAGCTCAGTTTCCCCATCAGTAAGAGAGATGCGGGGATGGGTTTCTGGGTAAGCAAGCTCCAGATGGTCGTCCAGCTGATGCTAGTTCTGATTTGTCCACAAACAGCCCCCCCCCGGGAGTGATGGACCATTTGTGCATCCAGGCTGGGCATTCAGTTGGGGGATAGGTGGAGGTCTAAATTTATTCTAAGGAGTGGGGAGTCGGCCCTGCAGCCCAACGTGGCACTTGGGCCTACTGAGCCAGGGGTGACAGCCCAAAGGAGCCAGAGGAAGTATCCAGAGAGGCGGCAGAGTGGGCTGAGTGTGGGACATGGGGCAGGGGTAGGGGTGCCCACCTATGCGGTCCAGGCTGTGGGGGAAGCAGTGCTGGAGGGCTCTCAAGGGGAGCAGGGAGGGAATGTCGGAAGCTCCTAGACAGGCTGGAGGACCTGCCCGCGGGAGTGCCTGCTCCTCTCTCCTGGGCCTTTGTCTTTATTTGGTTTTTGAGCCTCACTTAGCAGTGCTCAGGGCTGATGCCTGGCTCTGTGCTCAGGCATCACTCCTAGCTGTGCTCAAGGGACCCTATAGAGTGCTGGGAATCAAACCTAGCTGTGTGCAAGAGCCTGCCCACTGTCCTATCTCCCCAGCCCCTCTCTCCTGGGCCTTTAGACTAGGTTGCCCTGCTTGGCTACCAGGCCTCCCTCCTCCCATCCACCCACCTCTCCTCTGACACTGCAGAGAACCTCCCCACTTTGTCACTGTTCATATGCCTGTTCTCGAGAAACCTCCCCTGGCTCTTTGCATCGCCCTGAGTGCCAGCAGCACCCCTCACATTGCTCTGCTTTATCTCTGCACCCCCACCTTCTAGGAACTCTGTTCCCTTGGCATACCGAGATGTTTAGCAAACTTGAAACAAGGAACTGGAGAGAGTACAGCAGAGAGGGCGTTTGCCTTGTACATGGCCAACCTGGGTTTAATCTCTGGCATCCCATAGAGACCGCCAGAACTGCCAGGAGTGATTCCTGAGTGCAGAGCCCAGTGTAACCCCTGAGCATTGCCGAGTATGACCCCAAACAAACAAACAAACAAACAAACAAACCCCGGAACAGATGGAGAAATGAACAGAGGTGAAGAAAGTGGCCCAGTGGGAGTGCAGTGTTGACAGCCATCAGCTCTGCCGTCCCAGGGAGATGTGATGAGGGCTGAAGGGAGCAGTGGGGTGTGTGGTGAGGGGAAGGCCCCCTGGGACCTCTGCAAGGAAAATCCCTCTAGGAAGGCAAAGTGGTAAGAGGGGATTCAAGGTCTTGCTTGTGCTGATGATTCAGTGTCTTAAAGAAATATGTCTGGGCTAGAGTGATAGTACAGCAGGTAGGGCGTTTGCTTTGCATGCAGCCAACCCGGGTTCGATTCCCAGCATCGCATATGGTCTCCTGAGCACTGTCAGGAGTAATTACTGAGTGCATGAGCCAGGAGTAACCCCTGTGCATCGCCGGGTGTGACCCAAAAAGAAAAAAAAAGAAATATGTCTGTTTCAGTGTTGTGACTTGAAGGCCAAGGTTCAGAGCATTTCAGCGCAGTAGAGACAGGGTGGGGGCCCTGCTGAGCTCTGTTTGACCAGGGCTGATGGACAGTGTCTGTGGAGAAGAGATTCAGGGACAGTGAGCAGCTGGGTGTCACTGTTGCTGTTCAAGGGGGCTCCCTGAGGGGAGAGACACAAATATGGGATGAGTGGTGACCCGGGACTTGCTCTCTGTTCCAGACACTGGGGATAGCCCCCTGTCCCATTTCACCATCACTGCTGCAGGGCCCCAGCCCACCCCTCTCTCTCTCCCTTCCCAGGTCCCACGGGCCTGACGCTAAGCTGCTGGCTGGCGGGGAGGATGTGGCTGCAGGACCCCTGGGCCTGGGGCAGCTGCTGGCTGTGGCCAGTCAGGTGGCTGCGGGCATGGTGTACCTGGCGGGTTTGCACTTCGTGCATCGGGACCTGGCCACCCGCAACTGCCTGGTGGGTCAGGGGCTGGTGGTGAAGATCGGCGACTTCGGCATGAGCAGGGACATCTACAGCACCGACTATTACCGGGTAATTACCCCTCTCCTGCCCTGCCAACTGTGGACGCCTGCGGGCTGCCCAGCGCTGAGACACTCTGGGTCTGGTGTTTACCCTCCTGGGTCTCCGAGGTCCCTAACGGAGGAGGGTCTGTCTCCCGGTCTGGCCGGCAGCTGCACCATCGGTTTTTCCCTCTTAGCCGGGGCGGTTATTTATTTTTCATGCGGGGGCCGACGGGTGTGCGCGGGGCGCGGCCGGCTCGTGCGCGCCCCCTGGAGGTGACGCGGCGCGCGCCCCCGGCCTCCGCTGCAGGTAGGAGGCCGCACCATGCTGCCCATCCGTTGGATGCCGCCCGAGAGCATCCTCTACCGCAAGTTCACCACCGAGAGCGACGTGTGGAGCTTTGGGGTGGTGCTCTGGGAGATCTTCACCTACGGCAAGCAGCCCTGGTACCAGCTCTCCAACACCGAGGTCAGCCGCAAGCCTTTCTGGTCCCCACGGGGGCACCCACCCGCCCAGCCTAGCTCGTGTTCCTGCACGCTTCCTCTCTCCTCGTCTTTTTTTTTTTTTCTCTTTTTGTTTTGGTACCACACCCGTCCGATGGTGCTGAGGGATCGCTCCTGGAGGCTTGGGGGACCATATGGGGTGCGCGGGATGGAACCCAAGTGGGCAGCAAGCAAGACAAACCCACTCTACTAGAGCTCAGGTCCCTAAATTAATTATTATTTTTTAATTGAATCACCATGAATTACAAAGTTACAAAGTAATTCATGATTGAGTTTCAGGAGTATAGTGTTTCAACACCAGTCTAAAGGGCTATGTACCAAACGCTATCAGTAACAGTACTGTAAACCTTTCTTTCTTTCTTTCTTTCTTTCTTTCTTTCTTTCTTTCTTCCTTCCTTCCTTTCTCTCTCTTTCTCTTTCTCTCTTTCTCTCTTTCTTTCTTTCTCTTTTTCTCTCTCTCTTTCTTCCTTCCTTCCTTCCTTCCTTTCTCTCTCTTTCTCTTTCTCTCTTTCTCTTTCTTTCTTTCTCTTTTTCTCTCTCTCTCTTCCTTCCTTCCTTCCCTCCTTCCTTCCTTCCTTCCTTCCTTCCTTCCTTCCTTTCTCTCTCTTTCTCTTTCTTTCTCTCTCTTTTTCTTTCTTTCTCTCTCTTTCTCTTTTTCTTTCTTTCTGTCTTTCTTTCTCTCTCTCTTTATTTCTTTCTTTCTCTTGTCATACCTGTTGATGCTCATGGGTTTTACTCTTGGCGCTTTTCAAGGGACCATATAGGATGGCAGGGATCAAACCTGGTCTGGGTATATGCGAGGCAACTGCCCTACTCTCTGTGCTGTCACTCCAACCCTCACTCACCGCCCCCCTTCCTTGCCACCACTTACTATCCCAAGGCTAGCCCTCCGGCTCCTGCCATAACCTCCAAGAACTCGAGACAGGATCCTGTCCCTTGTCCCTCACTGAGCCTTATCGCCCCGGTGGGCAATGGTGGGGTGGAGGGAAAGGGACCCCGGAGGCCCAGGTGTTCTCTCTTCCCCAGCCGCTCCCCCGCCCCCTCTTGGCTCGCAGCTGTCAGTTTCCATTTCTCCTCCTAATGCAGTCTGCTCCCCCGGGGCTGCCGGGGTGGGGGAGAGGGTTATAGATTTTAATTTTCTCAAGCACTGAGAGAAGGAATGGAATTAGTGCCGCCCATAACCAAGTCTGCTAATGGGGAAGGGGGGGTAGGGACAAGGATGAGACTTCAGGCTCCGGCTCCAACCTTCTCCCTGACCGGCCCCCTCGGCTGCTCTGCAGTCTTTCCTGGAGTCTGACTTCGGTCTTTGCTGCTGTGGCTGCTTTTCAAAGAAGCTCATACCCTCAGAGGGGTACCTCCAGAAGAGAAAGGGAAGGGGGGTGGCGCACTACTACTACTACTACTAAAATGCCAATCAGGCTTGGTTTGGAGCAACAAGCGGGAGCCTTGACCCCAGGTCCTGCTCAGCACCAGTTCAAGGGGAGGGGGTCCACAGAATGCAAATCAACAACTTATTTTATTTTTTTTCATATAGGAGTATTGCTATTTATTCAGCCATTGATTAGGCTGATTGAATTGGGCATGAACTCCACCGCAAATTAATTTCTCCTCCTCCTCCTCCTCCTCCTCCTCCTCCTCCTCTTCCTCTTCCTCTTCCTCCTCTTCCTCTTCCTCTTCTTCTTCCTCTTCTTCTTCTTCTTCTTCTTCTTCTTCCCTCTTCCTCTTCCTCCTCCTCCTCTTCTTCTTCTTCTTCTTCTTCTTCTTCTTCTTCTTCTTCTTCTTCTTCTTCTTCTTCTTCTTCTTCTTTCTTCTTTTTTTGCGACCACACCCAGAGGTGCTCAGGGCATGTTCCTAGCTCTGTGCTAAGGGATGGTTCCTGGAGATGCTGTGGGAACTGTATGGGATGCTGGGAATTAAATATGGGTCAGCTGCTTGCAAGTCAAGCCCCCTGCCTACTTTACTATCTCACCAAGCCCCACATCAGCCTCTTTTTTTTTTTAGAGCCTTTTCCTGTAATCCTGCACACATACACGTGCACACACACATACAGACACACAGACACACACACACACACACACAACACACACACACAGAGCTCCCTGCTGACCCTGCAGCTTGGCACACTAGGATTTGGAAAATGCCTAGGCCCCTGCACTTACTCAGCAGGATTGTCTTCTGCGGGTCAGATTCCAGCCTTTTGGAGAAGCAATCCTATTGTTGGCCCAACCTTCCCAGGGGCCAGTTTCTCCCTGGGAGACTCTGGAAGAAAGAGTCTGCCCCTTCCACACTTGGCCTGGAAGCCTGGTCATTGCCCAAGGCCTCAGGAGTGGGAAGCGGAGGGGGCAGGCATGACTGGCTCATCCTGCCCCAGTCCAGGCCGGCTCCTTTTCTCCTTCCCGGCTCAGGCCATCGAGTGCATCACGCAGGGCCGGGAGCTGGAGCGGCCGCGCGCCTGCCCGCCCGAGGTCTACGCCATCATGCGGGGCTGCTGGCAGCGGGAACCCCAGCAGCGCCGCAGCATCAAGGACGTGCACGCCCAGCTGCAGGCCCTGGCCTTGGCACCCCCCGTCTACCTGGACGTCCTGGGCTAGCGCGGGGATCTCAGAGCATCTCACGCCCCCTCAGCATGCAGGAGGGGACGGTGGGGCTGGTGTGGAGGATGTGCCCGCGCCTCCAGGCGGCCTCTGTCGTAGCAATTATATTTATGAGCCCTCTCTGTGTCTCTTGCTGGTTCTTGGGATGGTGTCGCTCCGGGAGGGGCAGATGAGCACTGGGGTACGGGCATTGCTCTCTGGGCGCCTCTGCCTCGTGCCACTGTCACCTTTGCCTTGTCTGGGTCACCAACAGCTTCTGAGCAGTCCCTCACTGTCTGACCCTCCTGTTCACCCACATCCAGGAGGCTGTAGCCTGGGGTCACAGAGGAAGGCCGGGAAGCTGGATATCCTGGGGGACGGATGGAAATGTTCCGAGGGGCCATTCTCTTGCCTTGCTGATGCCCAAGCAACATCAGCCCTCGGTGGGACAAACACAGGAGAGAGCCCTGAAGGGAGTGACTTGATGTGCAGGGGAAGGGGGCCCGAGTCTCCCCCTGTATCTTGCCACTCTCCTTGGCTTTGTGGTTAGCTCTCCCCTGCCCCTTGTTGCACACTGGCCTCACCTAGTGACCAGAAGCTTCTGAGCCCATGGAGGCTGGGGGAGGCCCCCACCCCCATCTTCCCCACCCAGAGCCTGAGCAGTGTCCGTCAGTCTCAATCACGCCCCAGCTCCTGCGATAACCCATGCGCCCAGGCTCCTTGGGGCTGTGGCGTGGCCATCTGTGTCCCCAGGGGCCCCGCGCCCCACAGTGATTCGATCTGGGCTTATCACCCTTGGGCCAGGCTCCGGAGCGGCTGTGCCTGTCCAGGCTGCTTGGTACTAATGGAGGCCTGAGCCGGGCCTGCTGGGCTGTGCTCGGGAGCCAGGGTGCCCCAAGGGCCAGTCCCCTGAGGATAGGGGGCTGGCAAGGCAACCCACGAGGGAAGGCAGGACAGGTGGAGAGATCAGTCGGTCATCGGATGGCTGGCAGGGGCAGGGGGCAGGAGGGAGGGGCGGCAGGAGAGCTGGTGCAGACTGGGAGCAGGAGTGTGACAGTCAGATGCAGGTGAGTGGGAGAAGGTTCTAGAACCAAGTGGGCTCTGGGGGGCTTCTCCACCTCACATACACCGCCCTTCCACAGGGCCCAGGATGGGGCAGACTCGGGATCTGAGATGCAGCCTCAGGGTAGGGACGGGAGGGGGGGGAGTGGTGCAGGGCCACTGTGCCCTCAGTGACATGGGGGCAGAGGGGCTGGAGGTCAGGAAGCAGAGGGTATCGGAACTTTCCAGGGTGTCAGAGGGCCTCAAAGAAAAAAACTGAGCAGGTGAGCCAGGAGCTCTGGGGATGAGATTTGGAAGGAAAGGGAATTCCAGGAGTGTTGGGAAGGGACCTGATGGCTGTTATTGGTGAGAGGACAGCAGCTGAGCATCCCAAGCCCCCCAGGAATCAAGCCTGTGATCCCCATACCATTGCGGAGAAGGGGGTCAAACACCTCCCTGTCAGCTTCACCCCAGCTCCCTCCCCTCATGGATGGACAACAATGAGCCCCTGGTTCCCCAGAGAGTCCAGGCACCCTTCAGCCATCCACACCCACACAAATAAAGCCCAGACAGACAGACACACACACACACACACACAAATACACAGCTCACAGACACATACAGAAATACACAGCCCAGACAGAAACATACACACACACAGAATACACAGCCCAGATAGACAGATACACACACACACACAGCTGCACGATATACAGCCCAGGCAAATACATAAACACACAGACACACACAAATACTCAGCTCAGCACAAATACACAGCCCAGACTCACATATGCACGCACACAAATACACAGTTTGGGCACAAACATACATACACACACACACACATACATGCACAAATACTCAGCCCAGATACACACATACAAATACACAGCCCAGACACAAATACACATACACACACACATACACACTCAACTCAGGGAGCTCGAGAAACAGGACAGGGATAAGGCCTTCTATAGGGGCCAGGGGACCGTACGGCGTGGATTCCTGCTTCTTCAAAGATCTCACTCTTTGGGTGTGTATGTGTGTGTGTATGTGTATTTGTGTCAAACAGCCGACCCCAGTTCGAGCCCCGGCACCCCACATGGATTCCCAAGGCCCACCAGGAGTAATTACTGAGCACAGAGCCAGGAGTAAGCCCTGAGCACTTCTGGGTGAGACACTCCCCCCAGAAAAAAATCCATATTCAGAGCCCCCAACTAACACATAACACACACAACCCCCACTAAAACACAAGCCCCTACTAGGACACAGCTCCCATTAACACAGCCCCCCAGTAACACGTAACACACAGAGACCCCCACACCCAGCGTGCAGGGCACACGTGTGCTCACAGACCCCTTTCATCAGCTGCTGACTTCATTATCACTCATGTTTCCCTCACCCATGGCCACACCCGCCCCCTACTCATTCCCTGGGGCCCCGCAAGTCCAGTCACTGACCCCCACCCTGCCCCCAGGGATTGAACATCAGCTAACAGAGCCTGCAGGGGAGCCAGAGGTCCCAGGGCCATACCTTCCTCGCTCCTCCAGCCTGGGTCAGCACCTCCCCCACCCCCTCTGCTAGAACTTCCAGGTTGGAGGGGGCCTGCGGGAGGCCCCTGGGGCTGAGTGTGCTCCCCGAGAGTGAGATCTTTGAAGAAGCAGGAATCCACGCCATACCGGTCCCCTGGCCCCTATGCTAGTGCTAGCGGGCCGCTGCCTCCTTCCTGCCCTGCTCCCCAGGGGTGCGTCCCGCAGGCGCTGCAGCTTTCCAGGAACCAGCAGCTGGGAGAAGGGCCTCCTGTCCCCCGCCCCCTGGTCTCCAAGACAGAATTCCAGACTCCCTGGGCTCTGGGCTCCCCGTGCCAGCCTGCCTTGCTGAATGCATGGAGTGCTGCGAACAGGCTGTGCCTAGGAGAAGAGCCAGGCCCCAGGCAGGCCCCCAGCAGACCCCCAGCAGGAGCGTTGGCAGCTGGCCCTGGGGATGGTGAGGAGACTCGCTGGGGCCGCAGCGCCACCCCCCACCCCCCAGACTGTCTCTGTGCCCCCAGACAGGCTCCAGCGTTAATATGGAAAGTTTGAGCAGCTCTTGGATGGTGGCGAGGAGGGATCTGCGGGCAGGGACGTGACAGGCAAGATGGGGACAGACTGGCAGGAGGAACCTGGAGCCCTGAGAGGAGCAGGCTGGGGGGGAGCAGGGTGCTGCGCAGATCCCAGGTGCGGGAGCCAGTGCCGCCGCGGGGCACAACAGACCCTCCACCACGTCTCACTCAGCTAGCCTAGCGGGCCAGGCTCTGCCAGTATCATCCGTACTCTGCTGGGAAATGACTCCACTTTCCTGTGTCTTCATTGTGACCGCTTCCACATGGGGATGGGGAGGAGGAGGGCTGGAGACATAGGTTGGGGGGACAGTGATTGCCTTGCACGTGGCCAACCTAGGATCAATCCCCAGCATCCCATAGGGTCCCTTGAGCACGGTCAGGAGTGATCCCTGAGCACCACCAGCATGACACAAACACAAAACAGTCAAATAGGGGCTGGAGTGATAGCACAGCGGGTAGGACATTTGTCTTGCACATGGCAGACCTGAGTTTGATTCCCAGCCTCCCATATGGTCCCCTGAGCACTGCCAGGAGTAATTCCTGAGTGCAGAGCCAGGAGTAACCCCTGTGCATCGCTGGCTGTGACCCAAAACAAAACAGTCAAATAAAAGCAAACGGGGTCAGCAGGAACAAAAACCACCCACCTCACAGGGGTGCGGCCCTGAGTTCCATCCCCGATGCTGCCCACATGTGTTGAACTCTGCCCATCAGCTGCGTGGGACCCCAGGTGCTACAGCCAGGCACGGGGAGTGCCCATGCCACCAAGGTGAAGGTGTCTTCATAATCACACCAAGAGTGGGTGTGACTGGGGAGGGGCAAATCGTGACCGGAGCACTGAGGGGCTGGGAGGGGAAGATGAGGAGCAGCCGGAGCTGCACAGGGCACAGAGGATGGACCCGCCCGGCAGGACACGGGTCCCTCTTCTCTCCTCACCCCGTCTCTAGCCTACTCGAGCCCTGGCTTGGGTTGGGGGTGGGCAGAAAGACTGCTCTAGGTGCTATAGTGCCCCTACTGCTGGGCAATAACTCTAGCACCCTGACTCCTGGTTTCTCCAGGGGAAACCTCCTGGCTCACCTCCTCTGGGCAGCCCTCAGGGGTTAGACAGGGCTTGTGGGGGTTGCCCGGGGGACCCTGCATAGGAGGGAGCTTTGGGTCCCAGGCTAGAGGGAGAAGCCTCCCTCGAGCCTTTTTCTGCCTCAGCTTCCCGACCCCCCTTTATTTCCGAGGGGCAGGAAACTCTTGATGAGTCTGCCCTGAGTTCCCTGGCTCTGAAGGGGTTACTCGGCTCAGGGCCTGCCCACTGCAGGTCCCAGATGCCCGGGGCCTGTGGTCAGAGCTAATGCAGAGAGAGTTGAGGACAGGAGGGATAAAGTTATTAGCGTCTTCATCGATCGTCCAAGGGTCTGGCTTGGGGTTCACAGGGCGTGGGGAGCGACTTTCAGGGACATTCACCCCGTCTCCTACAGCAGGAGCCATGCTGCTCCGCTCTTCCAAAGGACAGAATGGGGGCAGCCGGACAGACGGGGGGGGGGGGGGACAGGAAGTTGGGGGTTGGACAGTCGGGGGCCAGGACGGACAAGGGGGCCAGGATAGTCAGGGGTGGACAGTTGGGGGACAGAACAGTTTGGGTACAGACAGAATGGGGGACCAGACAGTCGAGGGACAGGAGAGAATGGGGGGCAGGACAGTCGGGGACCAGACAGTGGGGGGCAGCAGAATAGAACAGGGTGCAGGCTCAGTGCCCAGGCCCAGGAACCTGCTCATGTGCCCCACGTCAGTGGCTGGGGTTTGGGCTTCAACTCACTGCCCTTGGCCCTGCACCAGTCCCTCTTCTCTCCTCTCCCCAGCCCCCAACCCACTTCAGGATTCAGGGTCAGGGTGGGGAGAGGATGAGAAATTGAGCTAGAGGGGTTCATAGGGAAGTGGGGGGAAGGCGGTGTCCTCTCTCCCTCCCCAGATTCACATCCACGTGTTTGAGCCCCCCC